TTCACGAAGGTGTACTATGACTTCTGGTTTTTCCGTACAAAAAATGATTTACCACCAACCTAGTTTAAAAATCTCCAGTCAGTTGGAAAATGCTTCCAAATTGGAAATGGTGGTTGAAAATATAGGGTTAAAGAAATTGAATAAAGTTCTTTTGCTTTACCTACTAAGAATTTGGTACACTGGTACAAATTTGCTTGACTCACACTGATTGTGATAACGATATAGATTTGTGATGAGTGCGGTATCTAATTGTGTTCCTTTGTGATGGTTTGGTTTTGAGACTGCATTGTAAAAGTCACTGTACTGTCCTTTTTGCCATTACTAATTTACGTTAATATATAAGGGGCACGATTTAAATAGTAACATAATAAGCAAACAGGTTTCTGGCTAGTAAGCTAATTATATATATGGAAACTAATGTAATTAATTGAAAAACATTTTCTAAAGATATATTCAGTTAAACTATAAGATGACTAGTAATTACTGAAATCTTAATTTTACACAAATGTTCTATATACGTGGCCTACAGAGTTTCACTTCAACCTAGTCAACCATTTTTTAGGAAAAAAATCTATTTTCTGTGTAATATATTTGCATCTGGATTCATAGATGTTTAACTTGGAAAAGAAAAATCGCAATCAGAAAATACAAGGAAATGAAGAAAACTAAGATCTCAATTTTATGATTTACTTTGATGAATATGAAAGATAAGCATTACCCGCTCTCAATTTTTTTTGCAGCCCCCGCCGGTTGCGGCTAGTATATATATGTATTGGTACATAATCTCAAACAATTCATATCCTTATCAAATTTATTGCTGGACTCCAGAATATTTCTTTTGTTGCTTCAATTCTGGTTTAATTTTTCCCCCGTTTCGTAAAAAAATGCAGGACCGACTCGTTAGCCTTTTGATATTTAGCATTGTGCTGTCTGGGTTGATTGATATTGGGTACAGTGAAAAAACATTTGATGTTCTTAATTATAGGGCAGTTGGGGATGGAGAAGCTGACGATTCTGAAGTAACTTCTCTCTTTTCTTCTTTGTTTTCACATTCATATGTTTTGTACAGGTATATGCTTTGTGTATAGGTTCTCTATTGATTATACTTGAGTTCTGGACCCCTGGACATTCAGGACGTTCTATCCCAAATACATGAATCAGTAGTAATGTAACACATATTCTTTTTTAAGTCGTCATGAGTGGTTCAAAAACAATTAATTCGTCACATTATTAAATCAAAAGCATGCTTTACACCAAAAAAATTATTTTCATGAAATAGGACATAAATGTGTTATATTTTAATCAGTTCTTTTTTTGTTGAATAATAATTTTTTTACTATAGTGTTGTTATCCATACATTCATTTTTATCTTTTATACGCACCTCTCAATTTTTGGACGTTGGACCAAATTATTAAAAAGAACTAAGGACATATATTAACGGATTGTGTGTAGGAGCTTGGGAGGTAAAAAAAAAAGTAAGTGGATAAAATCGTTCTTTCGAATACTACTTGAACAAGTTAAAAAGAATAAACTTAAATATAAATCATTGTGTTACTTAGCCACACTTTCCACTCCAGCATCATTGTATAGAAAAAATAATGAACCGTTCTTATCTTTGCATGTATAGGCTTTTGTAAATGCATGGAAAGCCTTATGTGGAGCAGATGAAGTTGGTGACGTACCTACACTAGTTATACCCAAGGGAAAAACCTTCTTACTGCAGCCTATCGAATTTGAAGGCCCTTGCAGGCCTACGAGGGTCCATATTCAGGTAAATCTATAAGGAATATTTATGGCAAGCAAATTTAATAAGGAATTTATAATCCTCTAATTATAGCTAAGATTTCCCTTCTTCATTCGTCTTTATATTTCCCTCTGTTGTTTTTTATTTATTTTGTATCCTAACGTGCTCATTCGAGTTTGAATAAGAAAGATTTATATGACACATGTATTGGGTCACTGTGGTATGAAACGCTACGAGTAACAATGTATTCATAGCATATGTAAGTCTCTTGTGCTTAATAATCTTTAGTGATGTAAGATATGTGGCTATTCTGGTAGTAGGCTCAGGTTCATCCATGGCTATTGTCCGTTTATTGGTGCAAACTAAAATTATTCAGTAATATGACTTCAACTTTTGAAAAATGGTTAAATGTTCCTTTCATATTGGGTCCGGAGAGTAGGTCCTGGGGAATGTAGTGGCTCCCAAAACGGTGGATGCATGGAAAGAGTGCCCATCATCAAATGCCTGGCTCCAATTTACAAATGTGGCAAATCTCACGCTCGATGGTTCAGGAACAATCGATGGCCAGGGTTCATCTTGGTGGAGCAATAGCATTGCCGATCAATATATCTCCTTCATAAATGTAATACTCTGTTCGTATCTATTGAAATTATAATATAATCACCATACATCTAAGATGCTTATCCCATCCAACATATTTACAGGTCAATGAGAAGAGCTGCGAAAGACCAAAGGTTAGTATGAATTTAATTATCAGACTATGAATTCAAACTATTAGTCAAACTGATTTTCTTTTAGTAGTGTGTGGTGCAAATTTATTATCTGATCAACAAAACTATTTAGACACGCATAAGACACAATAATTAACGCACTCTCTAATATAGGTTGATCAACCATTTCATTTGAAAGTGAAACTCACTTGTATTAAAGCAGTGTATAAAGAAATGTATCAGTTTTGTGTGTTAATCCCGATTTCCTCACTATCGTTTGTATTAAAAACATAGCATTACTTCATCTGGTAGAATGCTACCATAGGAATTTGTTTGAACCGATATCATTTTAATCCATATTACTAAATTAAGTTGGGTTTTACCAATTACTGCAGGCTCTACACTTTAACAGACTGTAACAATCTTCGTTTAAGTGGACTTACACATGTCAATAGCCCAAAAGCTCATATTGGTATAACCCACTGCATCAACGTCGATGTCTCCCATCTTACTATAATTGCACCTGCCGAAAGTCCGAATACTGATGGAATTGATATCTCAAACTCTATCAGTGTCAATATTCATGACTCTTTTATTGGAACTGGTAATTAATTTAAATTCATTTTATGTAATTAATCCTGATCATTATTTTGCAGGCCATTGCAACCAATTAGTTTTTTTGTGCATTTTGTTACAACAGGTGATGACTGTATCGCTATCAGTTCTGGGTCTTCCAACATCAACGTTACCAACATTGCGTGTGGACCGGGCCATGGAATTAGGTTTATCCAAAATAACCACACAAAATATATTATATCAATTTATTGACAACATTAATTAGATGTTGAGCATATAATTAAGTTTAAAGTAATGTTAGGAAGACTAAAATTTTTAATTAAATTTTGTAGACCAAATGATGTGATTGTTAATAATTAGATTATTACTTAGGTGTTAATTAACGTGCTTACTTTATATTAGTAACACATCATTTGATTTACAGATTAGGTTTAAAAATTTAGTCTCCCTCTCATTATCCTTAAGTTTAACACTCGTTGTAACTTTATATACTTTGTCTAATTCAGTGTGGGAAGCTTAGGTAAAAATGGAGCTCATGAAACAGTAGAAAATGTTTACGTGAGAGATTGTAGTTTCAATGGAACTCAAAATGGAGCAAGAATCAAAACATGGCAGGTATATATAATTATATGTACCATAAAAGATTTATGTATATGCACACCTTATCTTATCCAAGTTGGTTAGATCAATATGATCTCTTCTCTACACCCAAATTGAAACTTTCATCCCCGTAGTTTAAATGAACTATCCCATTGTTTGTCCAAAGGAGAAATTCCATTTATATGGTTAGTATTTATACGTTCAGTCTCCAAATTAAGATACAGTTGACCCATTTCCTGTATTTGCATCGATTCTCTAAGATATTGTCCTTGTTAATTTTCAGGGTGGATCTGGCTATGCTAAGAACATAGTTTTCGAGAAGATCACACTTGTTGCAGCTGCAAACCCTATCATCATTGACCAATTTTATTGTGATGCTGAAGCTAAACTAAGCTGCGAAAATCAGGTATATTTACTTTCTCTTTTTTATTTGAAATGTTTAACAGTTCATAGGGTAATGTTATTTTACCATACTTATGATGTCAAACTATGAATTTGTATTTCACATGCAACAAAATTAGAATAATAAATGTGTCAGATTTACAGTTTAATTGACAAACGTAAACCATTTTGCATTACTAAAGATTCTGGCAAGAGAACAATTTTTCCATAATATCACATTTGTTGACATGGGGCTTGACTTGTTCCAAATATTGATGATTAGACATCAGCTGTGACCGTGAGCGATGTGAGATACATTGATTTTCAAGGAACTTCTGGAAGCGAGGAGGCGATCAAATTAAACTGCAACCAGATTCCAGGCTGTCAAAACATTGTTATGGAAGAAATTCGTATCACCTCTGCTGTTCCTAGTAAGAAGATTTATGCAAGTTGCAGCCATGCCAAAGGAACCTGCAATGACAGTACTGTGCCCGTACCTTGCCTCGACACGTGATCGCACTGTTCATGGCTTCTACTTGATCCAACTCTATGTTGTAGTTCCCTATGGCCTTGTAAGAGCCTTATTATATTCGCTCTTTTCTTGGAGAAAATTTCAATATTATATATAAGAAGTGTTTTTCAATATTCTAAGAGTTTTATTTGATCGAAAATTTCAATATTATATATAAGAAGTGTTTTTCAATATTCTAAGAGTTTTATTTGATCGAAAATTTCAATATTAGGGTTGTCAATTGGCTAAAAAATATATTGGAAAATAATCAAAAGAAAACACTTTTAGTTGGTTATAAATATTTACCAAGGTCTGTTGAGCAATAAAACTCAGTTCATGTGGAATTGGGGGAAAGAAAAGGTTCAAAACTCTAATCATCCAAATAGAACCTATTATGTTAAAATGGTTCTTGAATAAGGTCAGCAATGGTATTTGCAAAGAAACAACGATGTTAACTCTCATGTATACGTTCACCGATTAGAGCTCGGTGATGATTGACTCCTCGTTTTGCATCTTGTCGATTAAGATTATAACCTAGAAACCAAAATCAAACAAACATAGAAACATATATGAGAAATTACACAAATCAGCAAGGATTTTAAAGATTCGGAATGTAATGAAGAGAGGAAAACATGAGGAAAACATGCTTATATGGCTAACATGATCAAAGAAATTGCAAAAAACAACAAATGGGGAAAATTACAGAACATGGGCATTTCCTAAAACTCCCATCATGTTTTCCATTCCAAATTTTTTTGGGCATACAAAATGAAGCTTATGGAATGAAGAGTAAGATTATTACCTTTGCCAGACCCAAAGTGGTTGCAAAAGCTTGAAAAACCACATGCCAATCCTACCAAAGTCGAATCGACAACCGAAAGGAAACCCATTAAACCCACATTCCAATTCAACCAAAATTCAAACTTCACCTCAAATTAGATCAACAGAAAGAGAAATAGGGGAAAACCCAAATGCCATAGGATAGAAAAACAGGGGAGAGGGAGAGAGAGAGAGAGAGAAAAGGAGATTACAATGAGTGAGTGGGCAAAATTTGAAAGCTTCGGTGAACTCGTGGCTCCCCTACGACTCGTTGCATCAATAGGATTAGAAGATTCTGGAAATAAAAAAATTACCGACTGACCATAAATTCAATTAAATAAAATTTTAAGAATTTCGTAAAATCCTGGAACGAATGCTCACAAAAGATGAATAACATATAAATTTAAACAACAAAAAAATGAAACATACCTCAACAGAACAGATGGGCAATAGTTATAAACTATTGGCCTGGAAATAGTTGACAAACCACAACCCCATGTCCATGATGTCAACACTGTCGATGTCATCACCTGAAAAGGTATGCAATATATGTTTGTTAATTTCTACAACTAAAATAAAAAACCAACATACTTACTCATGTGTTATGTTTTGTGAAAATCCAAATGAAAATGTATTAAAAAAATAATAATAATTATACAGTAGCAACTCTTCATAGAATTCTTCTATCTCCTCCACTTTTTGACCATGATGTCTGCTTCCATATTAGGTAAACAACACATGAATACATTTAGGATAGAAAATAAACGTTTATTTTAACCCTGCACCAATCAGCTAAATTTCGCAGTAAGCACAGCATTTTCATTCCCCACTTAACAGTGAATTAACTATCTACCACTGCCAGATAAATAAGCATTGCTCTTAAAATGATACTTAATAAACTTAACCTTCTTCTTAATTAACACGAAACCGCAGATAATCACCCAAACCAAACTGTTATTCAGTATATAAAGCAAATTACAAACACTTGGAACAAACATTTCAAATTATAAGATCTAATTATGCAATTTCAACTCGATTTTACTCCGACACAATCAAATTTCACACAACTAAACACGAAACGCATCGAATTTGAGGGCTTAAGAGCAGCATTACGTGCAAAAACTGAAATTTCAATCACCTCGGGCGATCAGAAGCAGAAGGAAGAAGGCCGAGCAATCTGGCACACCTAAAGGAGCTCAGAATCTTCTCGCCGACCTTTGACAAATCCATCGCACCCCCTTAATAGGGGACCAAAAACGAAACCCCAGAGCTCTCACTGCCCTCGCTCAAATCGCCATTGAACACAAACGGATTCGCCAAAACACTGCCCAAGGGAGACAGATTCAGCTGCATTTCAATTCGAACCATGGAAAATGGCTAACCCAATTTTCAATCACTTAAAAGTAGATCGAGTGAGAGAGAAAGTACACTGTCGTAATAAAAAAAAATCAGGCAATCATGATTTTCTATCAGAGCAACCACGAAGAGAATAAAATCCCCAAGAGCAGAGAAAGAACTCACCGAAATTGAATAGAAAGGAGAGAACGAACCATTGATGAGGAAAGTGGCAAACCAAGGAGAGGGGCGACGTATGAGTGAGTTTTGGGCTGTGGGTTTCGGATTTCTCGTTCAGGGGAAATGGGGAGGATTCTAGGGTTTGGGGAAGCAAAGAGCAGGGAGAAATAAGGAGGAGCCATCCGGATACCCAAAAAAGGAAACGATTTCTAGGGTTTGATGGGGTGTTCAGGCAGTCGGACTTGCTGGGGAATGTTTTTTTTTTTCGAAGCTATGGCTGCAAAATGGAGGCGCGGCTAGGGTTTTTTTTTTTTTTCTTTCATTCATTTGCAGAAAGGTGAGAGAGAGCAGAGAGTTCTCGAGGGGTAGGAGGCCTCCACAGCTGCAAGGGTTGGAGAAAATGAAACAATGGCACAAACTCATTTTCCTTTCTTTGCCAAACATTGGAAACAAAGTAAAAAGAAATTTCCTAACCCTAACACAACCTCAAAAGGAACCTGGCAAAAAAAGTAATAAAAACAAAATGGACCTAAATTAAATAGTCAAAATTCTAAAATTTAATATAAAAATTGTTGCCTGGAATGATCTAATAGAAATGGGTGCATTTTGCTCACCATTTGAGGTGGTGGTAATGCTCATTACTCTACGTATTATTATTAAATGAGTTTAAATCTTAAGATTTGTGTCTATCCACTACACACACTTTGAAATTTAAACTTGTCCAATGGTGATAAATAAGGTGGTGAGCAAAAATATACACAGGGTCAAGTGTCGATTTAGTTCCTGAACTATCATCTTAGTGAAAATTAGGTCTCTGAATTATTTTTTTGGTATAATAAGTCTCTAAATTCATTAAAAATTGCTAATTCCATCTCTACTATTATATTCAAAGCTATTTTATCCAATTTTTGTCAACTTAAGTCAATTGACACACTTTAGAGTGTAATACCATCATTTTCTCGCCTATAAGCCCTTAACATTTCATGTAGGTTGTGTGACACATCCCGATCAAAATTAAGTCACATCCCACATCGCCCAGGAAAGTGGGTCCTGTAAGCCTTATATGTATATTCTCATCTCTACCTAGCACAAGGCCTTTTGGGAGCTCACTGGCTTCGGGTTCCATAGGAACTCCGAAGTTAAGCGAGTTCATGTGAGAGCAATCCCAAGATGGGTGACCTATTGGGAAGTTCTCGTGTGAGTTCTCAGAAACAAAACCGTGAGGGCGTGGTAGAGGCCTAAAACAGACAATATCGTGCTACGATGGAGTCAAGCCCGGGATGTGGTGGGGACCCAGGCCAAGATATGACAATTTGATTGTTTCATCCCACATCGCCAAGGGGAGTGAATCATGTAAGCCTTATATGTATATTCTCATATTTACCTAGCACGAGGCCTTTCGGGAGCTCATTGGCTTCGAGTTCCATTAGAACTCCGAAGTTAAGCGAGTAACGCGCGAGAGCAATCTTATGATGGGTGACCCACTGGGAAGTTCTGGTATGAGTTCCCAGAAACAAATTCGTGAGGGCGTGGTCAGGGCCCAAAGCGGACAATATCGTGCTATGGTGGAGTCGAGCTCGGGATGTGGTAAGGGATCGGGCCAGGATGTGACAGTTTGGTATCAGAGCCAATCCCTAGTCGGAAGTGTGCCGACAAGGACATCGGACCCCTAAGGGGGGTAGATTGTTTCATCCCACATCGCCCCAGAGAAGTGGATCATGTAAGCCTTATATGTATATTCTCATCTTTACTTAGCACAAGGTATTTTGGTAGCTCACTGGCTTCGGGTTCCATTGGAACTCCGAAGTTAAGCAAGTAGCGTACGAGAGCAATCCCATGATGGGTATCCTACTGGGAAGTTCTAGTGTGAGTTCCCAGAAACAAAATCGTGAGGGACGTGGTCGGGGCCCAAAGTGGACAATATCGTGCTATGGTGGAGTCGAGCTCGGGATGTGGTGGGGGCCCGGGCCAGGATGTGACATTGTGAATCTAATGTCTAATTTACCCTCCAAAGTTAACTCTATATACTATTTCTTTATGAAAATTACCACTCTACTCTCCAATATGTATCACATATAAGTAACGTGACTTAAATTAACGGAAATTGAATATAGTATCTTCGAATCTAATATTAAGGACGTAATTTGCAGATTTTTATAATTCAATGACTTATTTTTTTGAGAAAAAAAATAGTTCAAGGACCTAATTTTCACTCAAGTGATAATTCAAGGACTAAATTGACAATTCACACATATTATCATATAAAATTATTCATTTGATTTATTCAACCAAATAATTTTTGACTTTCATATAAATTAAATTTGAAAAAGAATCTAAACCCTAATCCCTAAACTGGTAAACTCTAACCCTAAGCCAAGTGTCTTTTATCACCCCCTTAAAGTTGGAAATGGATCATCTCTGGATCACTTCCACCTAATTCACAAAGTTCGGGATCCAGACCATTGAAATTTGATCAAACGGCTAAAGTTATTATAACTTTTAAAGTGGACCCCTGTTTATAGCCGTTGGATCAAATTTCAATAGCTCGGATCCTCGAACTTGGTGGATTATGAGGAAGGGATCCGGAGAGGATCCTTTTCCCTTAAAGTTGAAGGGTACAAACAACTTTCTTCAAAGTGCACGAACTTGTTAAGAGATAGTGACTTAGTAAATAAATATACGATTTTATCTTTTGAGGAAACAAAACTAACTTGGATAAATTTGTTGGTCACTAAATCTCATACCATAAGGCGATCCACCTCAATGTAGTCAGCCCGAGTGTGAAAGTAAGAGCAACTCAACGTTGCAAAGGCCCCCTAGGGCAACTCACTACTGAATAGCCTCCAGTGAACAGTACCTGCTTTAATGAACAGTAACTGCCTTTTGCATCTCCACCCTTAAGAGCAGCTCCAGCAGAAGCAATTGCTCGATGAACAGACTTCAGCACAGGGCCTGATTGCCTGAGGGAGGAAGTCCAGCATTGGTTGGCGAGGGAGCCCGAGCAGGCCCTTGGATTCGCGCCGCCCCGAGCACCTGAGGTAAGTCTGACGTCAACTGATGTTAGGCACTTATTTTAATTTTTTTCTATCAGGTGCGTGGTGTTCAAGCTCGCGTGGGTGCGTCAGGGGACAGAAAGTCCAAAAAGGGGCCCGCGGTGCACTAATTTTTTGTTACCGTTGGGGAGCCACGTAGCTTCCCCACGCCCATTGGATTTCAACGGATACAAATTGTGGCCGTTGGATTTCCAACAGTAATAAAAATTAAAAAACCTTATTTAATATCAGCTGTTGGATCTGAGATCAATGGACCATGTTATTTGACTTTAAAAATTGAAAAAAAAAATACTGTTAAAAAATCAGAAATGTTACCGTTGTGCCATGTGGCACAATCTGGAGTGTTGAAATTCAAATTTGTTTAAATCCAACGGTATAGATTAATTAGGTGAATAAAAAAATTTAAAATTTTAAAAAAATTATTAAAAATTAGAAGAAAAAAAATTTGAAAAGTTAAAAAAAAAATGATTTTACTTTTCTATAAATATCTTCTTATTATCTTCTACCTTGCATCACAATTTCATATCTTGTCAAAGTTTCAATTCGGATAATGACATGTGGCGCAATAAGAACAATTAAAAATCTTATCTGAAATTAAAAATAAAATTATTTTGTATTATTTTATAAATAAAAAATATACTAATATTTTATTGCTATTGTCTTTTCGAATAATGACATGTAGCACAACGAAAACGATTAAAAATGTCACATTCTGACCTAGGCCTCCACCACATCCCTGTCTCGACTCCGCCGTAGCATGATATTTTTAGCTTTGGGCCCTGATTACGCCCTCACGGTTTTGTTTCTGGGAACTCACATGAGAACTTCCTAATGGGTCACCCATCATGGGATGGCTCTTGCGTGCTACTCGCTTAACTTCGGAGTTCCGATGAACTCCAAAGCCAATGAGCTCCTAAAAGGCCTTGTGCTAGGTAAAGATGGGAATATACATATAAGGCTTAAATGATCCATTCCTCTGGGCGATGTGGGATGTTACAAAATTATCACATCCCGACTCAGACCCCTAACCACATCCCGGACTCGACTCCACCATAGCATGATATTGTCCGCTTTGGGCCTCGACCATGCCTTCACGATTTTGTTTCTAGGAACTCACACGAGAAATTCCTAGTGGGTCACCCATCATGGAACTTCTCTCGCGCGCTACTAGCTTAACTTCGGAGTTCCAATGAACTCCGAAGCCAATGAGCTCCCAAAAGGCATTGTGCTAGGTAGAGATGGGAATATACATATAAGGCTAAAAGGATCCACTCCCCTAGGCGATGTGGGATGTTACAATCCACCCCCTTTAGGAGCCCGACGGCCTCGTCAACACACTTCTGGCCAGGAATTGACTCTAATACTAAATTGTCACATCCCGACCCAGACCCCTACCATATCTCGAGCTCGACTCCGTCGAAGCACGATATTATCCGCTTTGGGCTCCGACCATGCCCTCACGATTTTGTTTCTAGAAACTCACACGAGAACTTCCCAGTGAGTTACCCATCATGAAACTTCTCTCGCGCGCTACTCGCTTAACTTCAGAGTTCCGATGAACTCTAAGTCAGTGAGCTCCCAAAAAGCATTGTGGTAGGTAGAAATGGGAATATACATATAAGGCTGAGAAGGATCCACTCCCCTAGGCGATTTGGGATGTTACAATCCACCCCCTTTAGGGGCCTGATGACCTCGTCAACACACTTCAGCCAGGAATTGACTCTGATACTAAATTGTCACATCCCGACCCAGACCCTTACCATATCTCGGGCTCGACTCC